TGGTAATCCAAGTAACACTAGGTCTTTAAAAGATGATTTTTCTACAACACATCTTTTACATAATCCATAATTTTTTTATCCAATATTTTTTGAGTAACTAGCTTTGAATCGGAAGTCCAGTTTTTCAAAAGAGTTTGCTTCTTATTTGACTGTGATGAAGAATCTAAGAATTGTTCTTCGAATTTTCTCTTTTTTTTCTTTCGCTATAGCTGCTTCTAATTCTTTAACGCATCCATGTTTAACCTATCCAAGTATTTATTTATAAAAATTTTAAAAATATTATCATTATTAGAAAATTAGTTTTTATAATCATGGATTTTGTTGGACATTTTAAGAATTAATTTACAAATCAATTAATAAGGTACAATTTCGACACGGGGTTGCTAAAAATTATTTTTATAAACTCTTAAATAAAAGTCTATATAAAACTTCCGCATACAAATGAATTAATTAATTAAAATCTTATTTTAAAAAATCTTGGACATTGTTTAAATTATGCAGGTAAATCCCCTATATTGCAACAGTAAACCAAACGAATACGATGGAACACGAGCACATGAAAAACAGAATGTAAACACTCGGTACAATGCGCAGCATGCGAGCGCAGAGGCCATGTTCTTTTGCTATCACTTTGCGCGCTTTTTTGAAATACGAAATTATTAAGTTTTTAAAGAAATAAAAAAGTGCAAAGAAAGTAACGAAATAACTTAAAATTAAAAGTTACTATTAAAATAGTAACTAAGTTACGTTACAAGTTACTTTTAAAAAAAGTAACTTAGTTACGTTATAAGTTACAAGTAAAGTAACTTTTTCAGTAATTTAGTTACTAATAACTAGTTACTACCTAACACTGGATGATAAATAAGCATTAAGTAAGATTAAAATCGACTAACATAACCTTAAAATTGAGTCAATTTCTAGGTCAAAAGGTCGCTGGAATTGAGGTTAAAATCTTGGTTTAATAAATCAAATTTAGTTTTTATTTTCATTTTTTAAAAAAAAAAATTTTTTTAAATACATTTTACCAATTATTTAAGAAAAGAAAATTATTATGTAAACGTACGTAACAACTTTCACCTCTTTCTCCTACAGAAAATATTTTTATGAAAAATTACCGTCCAATTGAACAACAAATTACGATTATAAAAAAATTTATTTACGAAAAATTACCGTCCAATTAAACTACAAATGATGATTAAAGAAAAAATTTTTTTTTACCTTGTTCACTTCATCTAAAATCCTTTATATATTTCTTTCTATCAGATGAAAGTTAAGTAAACTGGAAGTAGTAGAAGTCAAGTAGTATAAACGGTTTTCGGTCAGCCAAACACATGTCGGCACACACAATGTGCAATGAAATTGAAACTGGTACATCCTTAATATTTTAACTGTTTTAAACACAATTCTTATGCGAATATTCAAATATTTAAATTCAACTTTTTTTAATTTTTTTGAAAAATTTATGTGTATTTTACTGTAATTTCGTATAAGTAGTAAAAGACAATTAGAGACAGACAATTTTTTTTTTCAAATTCTTGTAGTATTAAAGTATATTTCGCATTAGGTAAAAAATTTAAAAATTCATGTAATATAATTATCAGTTATAAATGTAAAGTTGCAGTCGAATTGCAATTAGCAGAATTAGGTCATTGATGCGATCATGACAATCGAATTTAGATCAATTAATTAGCCGTTTGATATTTAGAGAAAATGTATGCTCCTCAATGGAACCGATTTTTGACAATAATGAAATTTTTTTATTAGTATATAAATAGTAAAAGACAGTTAAAAACGATTTTTAAATTCAAGACTAACAATGAATATTTCAAAAACATTATAGAGGGAAATGTTTACAAAATTTGAGGGAATTTTTAAGAAACTTTATGGAATGTTGTGCAAACTTCATATTACGTCCGCATGAAAAGGGACCACTTTGTCGCTTTTATTTTAGAAGATAATCGCAATTTTCTAAAAGTAGTTCAGATATTTGAATTTTTAGGGTTTCGTGGCCCATGGCCGAAAGCCTTATAGTTTCACTTTGGCGTCCGTCTGTCCGTAGTACAAACCCCAATAGTTGACATGTCCCAGTAGTTGACCTGTCTCAGTAATTGACATGTCCCAATAGTTGACATGTCAATTATAGGGGCATGTTAACTATTGGGACATGTCCCTATAGTTGACATGTCCCAGTAGTTGACCTGTCTCAGTAATTGACATGTCCCAATAGTTGACATGTCCCAATAGTTGACATGTCCATATAGTTGACATGTCCATATAGTTGACATGTCCCTATAGTTGACATGTCCCAGTAGTTGACATAAAAATTTAAAGCGCCACGAAACCCTAGATGTAGGCGCAATTGCGCCTAGTTCTTTTCCTACTTTTTTTTTTATTGTTGAAAATCAAACTGCAAATTGTTCTACGTTGGGACGCATTATTATGATCTAAAAATAATAAGTTAGAATTTTATTTTATGCGGAATGTCATTTGTCATAATTATTTTTAAGTCGAATTTTTATTTATTCGAATTAATATTTTGCAGAATTTTCATCAAACCGATTTTCTATATTACAGAATTTTTATATAACCGAAAAATCACTAAACAGAATTTTCATTTGTTCGAATTATGATTTGATAGAATTTCCATATAACCGATTTTTCATAGTACAAAATTTTTACTTAACCGAAAAATCATTTAACATAATTTCTAGTTGATAGAATTTTCATTTGTCCGAAATTGCAAATGTCCGAACAAACAATCGACAGAAAGATTTCGGCTCGATTTTTAAAATCAACCAATCAAAAAATATCCATAAAATTGTAATTGGTTAATTTTAAAAATCACGCCGAAATCTTTCTGTCGATTGTTTGTTCGGCAATTTGCAATTTCGAACAAATGGAAATTCTATCAATTATAGATCAGTATGAAAAATCGGTTATATGAAAATTATATCAAATAATAATTCGAAGAAATGAAAATTCGGTTCAAAAATAATTATGACAAATGACATTCCGCATAAAATATAAAATTCTAACTAATGATTTTTAGAACATAATCATGCGTCCCAACGTGGAACACTTTGTAGTTTGATTTTCAAAAAAAAAAAAAAAAAATTCAAAAATCTGAACTACTTTTAGAAAATTGCGATTATCTTCTGTCACGTCACCGTAACATTTTTTTATATTTATTTATGTAAAATAAATATTTTTCAAATACATTTGTAAATAAATAATTGTTTTTAAATAAACAAATATTTGTAAATAAACAATTATTTATAAATGAACAATTATTTATAAATAAACAATTAGTTATAAATATAACGAATATTTGAGATTAAATCAATTATTTATAAATATTAAATATATAATAAAATAATAATGTTAATAATCATAATTAATGTTAAAATGATCAATATATAAAAATTATAATATTTCTTTGGGATGTAGTGTTCTTGACATTTTGTATTATTAAAATAAGGAAATCAACATACGGAGTCACCAACACATAGAAGAAAAGCAATAAACACTTTTCACGTCTGTGAGGTACTGATCTTGAATCTAACCCAAAGAGGCGAGCTGGTACCGCCGCGAAGAATACATTGGAAAATATACCTATATAAAGGGAGACCTATCACTTCAAAGGCAGTCCCAAATTATACACACAAAGTTCGTCATAGCAAGTGTTAGATACAGTTTCCAAAATTATCATATTTCTCAGTGGTTACGTGCGGTAATAAAAATCTTAACGACCAAGAAGATCCAATCTTAGGAGGTCAATACAACAGGTGCCAATTGAAGAATCCTCAATATAAACATCTTAAAGGTAACCATACCAAATATTCAAACAAGGATTTATTTGATTATATAAATTGTTAAGAACATTTTACATTCTTTAAAATAAATAATTTTTATATTATATTTCTATTCATTCATTTAATAAACCTCTTCTCAACTTAGTTAATTTAACTAAGTTAAATAGAGGAAATTAGAATAGGGAACAATTATAAGTTCAGATTAGTTAAAAATAATATTTATGACATAACACTTCTAAAATAAAATCAAATGTTGCTTATAATTCTTGAAATAAAATGTTTCATAAAGTTTCTGAAAAATCGTATAAGGTATTCAGAAAATTACACAAAATTATTATAAATATTGATGACAAAATGAATAACAAACCAATTGGATATAAAAGCATTCTAATTAAAAATTTATTATCTTCTTCTAATTTAAATATCAGTGGTAAAATTAATTTTTATTTAGACAGGATCTTTTTAAAAATTATACAGTCAAACTATCATGATGGGTGTAGTAAATGAACATTTTTAATTGAAACATATGATTTCTGTGGATGTAAAGCATATAGCAGCATAACTGAAATTTTTATCTTTGAGATAACATATTTATGAATATTTAGTAATGCTTTTTAAATTTCTATAGCTTCCAAATCAATTTAATGATTATTTCTGTATGATAAAAGAAAACATAATCGTATAACTGCATTTTTGGCAGCAAGAGACCAGCAGAACAACATTACTGCAATTAAATTGAGAAAAACAGTTTGCTTTTCCGAATTGAGAGAACTAAATGAACATTAAAATTGTTTTTCATCAAAATCATGAAAAATTCAGATATGCCTTTCCTCCACAGATTTTTACATTAAAATTTAAAATAAACATCACTGTTCGCTACTGAAAATTATACTTTGATACAACTTATCATAAAAATATAATGTAAATTTATATTCCTTAGATTACTATTTACACTAAATATTTTAAAATAACTCAATCAAAATTCATACTAATTAAAATGAATACGAAACTGGATTAAAATTAAATTGAAATTCTTTATACATATAGAGATACCTCTCTGATTCTTTTGAGTATAATGCAATTCATTTAAAAAAAATGAGTTTAGATTGAAAGAAATATATATATATATATATATATATATATATATATATATATATATAAATATAAAGAAGCCTTTGTTCTCTTTGACGATTTTCTAAAGTATAAAATTGTCGGTATATAGTAAACAGATTAAATTGTAGTATCTGCAACATTTGTTGGTATCAACAGCCCCTTCTCAAATTTCCAATTCAATTTCGCAACGGTGTGGCTTTCTCTCGACAATGTCTCTAAGGGACCACTTTCCAGCCGCGTCCATTTTCCTTTCCGTCTCATGTATATGCCCAACTGTGGCAACTCGTTTCAAACTTGATTCTAATTAATGGCAGGTGAAGAGTGAGTGAGACAGAGAGAAAGAGAGAGAGAGAGAGAATATCACTGAGGCGAAGAGAAATAAACGAGGACTTATGTAAAGTGTTTAATATCTCGTATAATTGAAAATAATATTCTAATTAAATTTCAAATGAAACGGAACACTTCAAAAAGTTAATATGACAAAATCATGTTTTCTATTATTTCATGCGACTAAAATAAATATTAAAATTAAAAATTTTTGTTACTATTTCTTTCTATTTATTCATTTACTCATTAAATTACATTTACGTACCAATTTTAAGCAAAGTAGGTCATATAGATCCTAAAAATATTTTTGTATAATTATAAATTTTAATTGATTTTTAAAAATGTCTTATTTATCTATTTGTCCTAGTGAAAACTAAGCTTTTGTTGAAAAAAAAATTTCGCTTAGGTAAGCAATTATTACTTTGCTTTACTCGCGTACATCTATATATGAAAATCTTCTCTATTTTTATTTAATAGATTCTGTGCTAAGGGAACGTTTATTAAAATCAGTGGATATACTAATTATAAGTTGTAATCAACTGTACAAGATCATTATTTTTTTTTGTGCAATATCAGAGAAATTTTAATGAGCTCGAAAACTTATTTGCCTTCAAAAATTTTAATTGAACTTTTCATTAAAAAGGTTAATTAACAGATTTATTTTTTTTGCTTTCTTTAAAAAAAAATTGCCTCCATTAAATGAAAAGACATTTACAAAGAATTTATAATTTAAAGAATATATGTAGACAAATTTCTAATTATTTTATTTCAATATAAAATTTAAAACTTATTTTTTGTTATTTCACTCATTAAATATTTATAATGTTCATATTTTCCGATTTTACCTTTAGATGGAACATTTAGTAGTACTTTGAAAAAATAACCCAGTCCTCTCATTTGTACTATTGTAATTGATTTAATTTCAAATTCACTACCAGGTAAAAGAATGACATTTTTTTCATTTACAGGTTCAAATCGTTCAACTTTTGTGTTGATTGTTGCTCTAAAGTATGGATCAGTAAATTCTATTTCATAAAGAATATTTCTGAAACCACGCGCTGAATATGAAGAAAATCTCGTGGCAGATATTACATTTGTTGAGGTAAGCGTAAATTTTTGAAAAATAACACGTTTTCCCACGATAAATTTTTTACTGGCAATATTAATAGGTATTGATTCAAATCGATATAATTTCCAATCAAATTCTTCTCTTAAATCATCAGATTGTCTTATAGCTAATTTATATAAAGCAAGTTTCATTTGTTTCGCTTCATTTGTATCGCCACTTATTCTTGTATCACCTGATGTTACAAAATTTCTTATAGCATAGTAATCTTCAAATGTAACCGAAAAACCTGCTTTTTGATCATTAAAATCATAAATTATTTTTGCAATCGATGTTTCTTCTTCAATTTTACATCTTTCTCTGTACGTATAAATTAAATTGATTCTATTTTTTCCATCGGCTATTGTTACATTATTATTTTCTAAAAGTAAATCGAATCTCAATTTATTCAAAATATCGGAATTATCAATTATACAACTTTTACTCCAATTTGATTCTTCAAATTTTTTTGAAATTAACCATCTTGAGACAAAGTAAACAAAAAATGTAGGATCATCTGGAAATGTATATTTTTTCAATTCATTACGTATTTCTTCCTCAGATGCCATATGATCTCCATTAATATGTACTTTATTTTTTAGTAAATTTACTGCTCCCTCTTTTAATTTAAATTGTTTAACAAAACGCCAATATCTCAAGCAATCATTAGAATGTTTCGTTAATTGTAAATATTCATTATTTAAACATTTTTCATTAATGTGATTATTCCATATCCCTGAAAATTTAAGTATTGTCTTCTTTCTTCGTAATTGATTATTAATTTCATATATAAAATAATTAGATTCTTGTACAAAAGTCTCATTATTTAATTTAATAAATTTTTTTCTCTTTTGCGGAAAATCAAAAACTAGTGTAATAAATATTTTATTCTTAAATTCATAATCAGTTCTTAGTGATGCAATTGTTGAGTTATAAATATTTATAAACTTGTATCCATAACCAGTATTATTATTTAGTGTGTTAACAAGTAATTTTTTACTTCTATTTTCACCAATGTCACTAATATTTCTAATAAAACTATGTTTCAAAAATTCTATTTTATTTAGCATATAAACGATACATGTAAAATTGTAATTAATCTTCTCTTTTAATTTAGAAATAATCATTGATACTAATTTAATACCTTCTTCGGTTATAGAAATTGTCTCAAATTTAGGCTCTTCCACGTGTAATGAAAATTGTTCATAAAATGTGTTATTTTGTGTTGAAAATTTAGAAACATTATTTTGTGACACTACTAATGCGTAAGTTTTAGTAATCAATTTCTTTAAAAAAAATGATTTTATATCTATACCATAAATAGATAGAAGAGATCGTGTATTTAAATTGATTATTTCTGATGATATATCTTCTGAAAATTGATTTAAAAATTTGATATTATCATTTTCACACAAGTTTTCTTTTTTATTATCATAGTTGATACTTTTCGATAAACAGGAATAAAATGGCACCAAGGATAATCCAAATTCTTTCCACCATTCATTATTTTTTAGATTGTAATTTAAAAGAGTAAAATGAGACTTGAATCGTTGTTTCTTGTACTTTGTTAATTCTTCATAAAATTCATTTGCTCCTTCATTAGCAAACTTTAAAATAATTCTTTTTCCTAATCGTATTAATTCATTGAAAAATTTATCAACCACTTTAATAAGTGTAGCAGTATAATTTTCTCTTATTAAAATATAGTATTTTGAAGTTTTGTTATCAGTGTAAACAAATTCAAGCAAATCATGGGATAAATATTGCAAATTATTAAAACTGCCATTTACTGTATCATTATTATTAACTATCAATTTTATTGTAATACCATTAAGATCAGCAACTAAAGATTCATTAAAACATTGTTTTATTATTTGTAAATCATAATTCTCATATATTTCACCCAATGTATGAATTTGATCATTATACCAATCGTTTATATAGGGCGAAATAACTTTAGGAGTACATTCAAAATGTTCAAGTTGAACGTGAGGAAAAGTTTTATTTTTCCTCTGTTCTTCAATCAAAAACATACAATTTGAATCGATAATGGATTTTGCAATTGCGTCTCGACTTTGAAAATTTGAAAATTCTAAATGAATTTTATATGTATAGTCATTTTGTAATTGATGTTCTATTTGGTTGTAAGCATTGTTTAGATAATCGAAAAATTTATGATAAGCTGCTTCCCAATGATGAGGATTGAAAATAACATTTGTTATCATGTCATATTTTACTTTATCTTCAGTAGTAGTATAATATAAAAGAGCTGGTAGAGCAAAAACTCTTACAGTTAGAGGATCTATTTTCATATCCTGAATTAGATTCCATACAATGTTTCCTACTATTACATATTCATCAAATAAACCATTTTGAAAACATGCAAAATTATTTTTCATGAAATTAGAAGAATAGGAATCATTTATTTTTCCAAGTCGAAGATACGTTGAACCAGCTTGTGCAAAAATATAATCAAGAGACAATATATTGATATTTGTTTTTGATTTAGGAAAAATTGGTAAAATTATATCTGTATATATTCTATTGACTGCTAATTCAGAAAGATTTGATTTTAATCCACATTCATTTTCGAATGTTGCATTTTGAAGTGTTTCTTTTATTACACTTAAAACATAATCATATTGAAAATTTTCTAACTTACGAATTGTATCGACTAAAAATCCATAAATATTTCCATATTTATCAAATACAAGAGAACTAATGATATATTCAAACATGGTATTAACAAAAATTCCATCAACATTTTCATTATCTTCTTCTCCATATAGATCACTGCCTTTTAATAAATTTTGAATTAATTTTATAAGCATGGCTTGATTATTATCATTATAATCTTCCAAATATGCATACAGTGCATTAACAATTGGTATTTGTTTATGTTGATTATATGATTCCAATTTATTTTCAGTGTATAAAAAATCACTAAGTAGATTCAAGTAATTGAAGATTGGTATAAGTTGCACGTATGCTAGTGGACTTTGTGAAAATAAAGTATACATTTTTAATTATTTTCTTTTAATTTCCTAATAATTTATATTGAAAATAGTTATTATGTATTGATTATTCAATTTTCGTGTTACCATAATCTGTGGATAAGAAAATAAATTTTGTTAATAAAAAAATTAATAATTTTTAAAAACAGTGATTATCAGTTTAAATATTTAGGGTGTGATATATAATTTTTTTATATGATCAGAAGCTTTTTATTTTTTTTTCTTCGCGAAATTACTTTATTTTTGCAATTGGATATTGTATTTTACATTGTATAAAAACAAAAATATTTTTAAAAAAATTCTTTTCATATCTTAAAAATTACAATACATAATAGAAAAATAAAGTTTTCATACCTGATATTATTTATGATGAAACACTGACAACTGCGAAGGATAAAATTCGAGTATTTAACTTGTTTCAAAGATAAAGTTTCAAGTACAATATTTAATATAAGTTGCTTTCGTGGAATAAAAGTAACAATTACTATTATTTGTAACCTTTTTTTATCTTAAAAATACATATTGATACAAGAGGAAGAAAATTATAATTTAACCAACAATGTACGTATACTCAAACACACGTGGTAATTTTTTTTTGGTAAATTTATACAATTTAAAATTATTAATTAGGTTTAAAATTCAAAATTGAATATTAATTTAATAAAAAATTTATTTCCTTATGTGTAAAATAAATAATATTTGTTTAATCTGATATCACTTGTCAAAGTTGCACAATAATTTGCTTTATCGTTTTTTTAAACAAGTTCATTTACATAATAATTATTATCACTATTCTATTTCTTTAAATATTTCACTTTTAAAAGTTATTAAAAAAACTGAAAATGTATATAATTTGTTATTTCAAAAGCATTCAATATACCATGCATAAATTGGAATTTTAACATTATCAGCTTTTCTTTAAATTACCCTATTTTTTAAAATTATTTTTGTAATTATAATATTTATGATAATTATTTATACAGTATATACTCCCTAAATCTGAATCAGTGAAAAGTGAGCTACTAACTTAAATTAGTAAGAATTTTCACTAATTTTTAATCATTTATTACTAAAACTTTAGTTAAAAAATTAAAAACTACTAAATCAAATAGTAATATTTTACTAAAAATTAGTAAAATTTCTTAATAATGTAAATTAGTAGCTCACATTTCATTAATTCAAATTTAGAGAGTAAAACACTTAAGAATAATTTTGAAAAATCTCGCACGCATGTGGGATCGAACCCAGGACCGTTGGGATGGAAACCACGTACCCTGACCACATAGCCACGTTAACTTACAAATCTTATACCTACCACTTCTTCTTGAATATTAAGACTATATTCTACATTCTATTTGTGATGAAATTATTTTTACATTTGTGATAAATTTATTTTTACATTTTTTATTTAATTATTTTTACATAACCGACCCCCTGAAGTAAAAATTGAAATGGTATCGAATTATTACAGAAAACTATAAATAATCTTTGTAAATTATAAGATCAAGGAATGTGGAATTTTTTTTTTATTATTCACAATAATAAAAATTGACTCACAAGTGGAAGTTATTAAACATGAAAACATCGTTTTTTATAAAATTTTTTTTTCTAATAACGATAATAAATGTTAAAGAATCCGAGGAAAAAAAAGATACACGAAGGTATAATATTGCTATAACTATTTCCATTTACAGCACATGATTTTGAAAGTGCAATAGTAATCTCGATCAAATCAGTATACACCTCTAGGGATTTTTCCATTTTTACCTTTACGTCCACTATATCCATGTAATCGTGTAGATTATCACACGGGAATTTCAGTCACAGTGAGCTCTCTCGTTCATAAATATGAAAAAGGTAGCAATGTATATATATACTATATATATGTAAGCACGAGAACCAGAATATGTCGTGTCGCAAACCTTGTAAGAGTGGATCTGTGTCAGAATATAGCAGATTTGATTGCGCTTTGCAAAAATAACTACTTCTCCCAATTTTTTTTTCTCACTCTTAATACATACTTTCAGTTCTCTTATCTTCTATGTAATTTTCATCCGAAAATAAAATTAAACTTTATATATAGATATATAGATCTTCACTTCTCACACGTATCTCGTACGATTTTCCTTACTATCTTAGCATATTTTTTTTTATAACTTCTACTTCATTTTATGAACTTTTTTTGAGTCAGTAATAAAAGAAAAACTTTCCTACTCTTGAATATATATATATACTAGGGGGCTTCGCCCCCCTGCGCGCCAACCCCTTATTTAAATTTACTGAAAATATTAAATATTATTTTGATTAAATTTATATTTAATAAAAAATTTTTAAATTTGAACAGCAGATATTTATTTATATTTTAATATGAACATAAACTTTATTTTAACTTGCATCCGTAAACTAAATTTTCATCTATTCTGCAATTGAAAAATTAATTAGGGACCGAATAAGTTTTTATATTATGTTTTTAAAGATTAATTTTACTCAATTTCTTTAAATAAAATTTATTATTTCATTTTAAAGAATTTGTTTCTAAGATGCACCACGGATGACGTCCTTCTAACCTATGATCCTAATTTTGGGGTAATGTCAGATTTTTTCTATAACTTTGACCAAATTTTGAGGTTATGTTCGCCTACACGCCTATGACCTTCAACGTAAATTTAAGGTTATGTTCTCATTTGACCTATGACCTTTAAAAGTTTAAAGGGAGGGTCATATCTTGATCTCTGATAATAATTTTGAGGTTATGCCCGTCTCTACTCCATCAAAAACTTTGATTTTTGACATATGTCCTTGATTTTTGAAGTTATGTTCGTTTTAATCTATGATTCTGTCGTTTGACCTTGAGTATTGATGTTATGTTAATTTTTAACTTATGTTTTTGATATAGATAGTACAATATCTGAAATTTTCGAGACAAATTCTGAACGGTACGCGAGTTTTAATGCTTTGCGAGTTGAACAGTAGGCGAGTACTGTGAGCTCCCGCGTAGCGTCGAAGTTCTCGCCTAGCGTTCATTCTTGAATCAGCGGCAGCGGCGGCGGCGGCGATATATATATATATATATATATATATATATATATATATATATATATATATATAAATGAAATAAAATATTTTCAAAAGTAAAGAAATAGTTTCCTATAAGGTAAAATAATTAAGTATATAAAGAATAGTTCTTACCCTATTGAAAATCCCCACATGGGAAACCACATGGGAAACCACATGGGATCCTATGTCAAAAACTATGTAAAACCCCATTCCCCATATGGGAAACCATATGGTTTCCCATACAAAAACTCATGGGAAATTGGGACAGGAATTGGCATAGGAAAATATCAAAACGAGGTTCCTCCATGTCATTTCCTATGTCAAATCCCATGTCAAATATCATGTTAAATACCATGTTAAATACTAATTGAGATCCTTTATCACTTTTTTGAAAAATTTTCCCATGTCAAACCCCATGTCATTTCGCAAGTAAAAACCTTTATCATTTTTTTGAAAAATTTTCCCATGTCAAACCCCATGTCATTTCCCAAGTAAAAACCTTTATCATTTTTTTGAAAAATTTTCCCATGTCATTTCCCATGTGAAATCTTTTATCATTTTTTTGAAAAATTTTCCCATGTCAAATCCTCTTTCGCCTTATCGAAAATACCCACATAGGAAAGCATATGGGAATCCACATGGGACACCATATGGGAATCCACAGAGGAAATGGAATACGATAAAGGATTTCACATGGCAAATGACATGAGATTTGACGTGGGAATTGATATGGAAAAATTTTTCCAAAAAAGAATAAAAGATTTCACATGGGAAATGACATGGGGTTTGACATGGGAAATGACATGGGAAAATTTTTCAAAAAAATGATAAGATTTCACATGGGAAATGACATGGGAAAATTTTTCGAATAAATGAAAGAGGATTTCACATGGGAAATGACATAGGAAATTTCAATATAGATGTTGATCGTCATTATAGTTTCATTGTTTCACCACCAGATGGTGAAAATATTTTCTCTCACAGTTGAGATCAGTCTGGAATACTATAAAAGCTGAGAGTCTAAGGCAGAAGTAAAGTAAACTTTTTTTTATTTTCAGATGAGTTGAAGTATTATTATTTGATATTTAATCAAATAATTAATTTTTTTTTGTAAACTGCCGCCTGCATAAAGCAGCCAACTAAAAAATTCCCGAATAAAATCCTATATCGTTTCCTATATGTAAATCCATGTGAAATCTTAGGTTGAAATTTCAGAATCTATATGAAATCTTATATGATTTCCTATGCTTAAATCTATTTGTTTTATCATTTGGAAGAATGCACATGAAATCGTATTCCATTTCCCATGTGGATTCCCATATGCTTTCCTATGTGGGTATTTTCGATAAGGCGAAAGAGGATTTGACATGGGAAAATTTTTCAAAAAAATGATAAAAGATTTCACATGGGAAATGACATGGGAAAATTTTTCAAAAAAATGATAAAGGTTTTTACTTGGGAAATGACATGGGGTTTGACATGGGAAAATTTTTCAAAAAAGTGATAAAGGATCTCAATTAGTATTTAACATGGTATTTAACATGATATTTGACATGGGATTTGACATAGGAAATGACATGGAGGAACCTCGTTTTGATATTTTCCTATGTTAATTCCTGTCCCAATTTCCCATGAGTTTTTATATGGGAAACCATATGGTTTCCCATATGGGGAATGGGGTTTTACATAGTTTTTGACATAGGACCCCATGTGGTTTCCCATGTGGGGATTTTCAATAGGGTAAAAAAATAAATTTCTCTTCATCTATGGAAAATATAATTTTAGCACCCATTTTAGAATATTTTAATACAATTTATTTTTAAATTCAATATATAATGTATGAAGTATTCTGACCAATATTAGTTGTTACAATACGTGTAATTAATTTATAAAAATGAAAAATTGCTTATTTATGGACTCAGAAAAAATTAGCTTGATATATATTTGTGATTTTTAAAAAATGAAATTTTTTTGAGGGACTGTAAATGTGTTAATATTTTAAAAATTTATACTTTGAAAAATAATATATTTCATTACGAAGTGTTTGTTTACTTTATTTGTAAATATTTCAATGCAGTGTAAATTCTAAGTGTTTGTTTTTTTTTTATTTGTACATATTTCAACATTTTTTATTCACCAATGTAAATATTCTAATAGTAGCACTGTTATTTCTTCCGACTTTTACCGAATAAAGTCGACCACGATCCGACGAATACAAATATGTGAATTCTATTATTATAATTTTGTAATTATACACAAATATACGTATTATTTGAAATATATAATTGTATACGTGAAATAAATAATAAAAAGAGTGTACAAAATTTTTTAAATATAAACGTATAAGTTGAAATATAATATAGGATTTAACTTTCACTTCATATTGCTTTCAAATTTCGCGCTCTTTCAAAC